TTTTGCTTTCCTTTTTCCAGGCTTTTGAGTAGACGACTATTCTTTCCTTTCAGATCTTCAACTCGTCTTTTCTCAATGTTCAATTCTCTGGTCATCTGTACCGTCGATTGGCTGGGTCCTGATGATTTTCGGGATTTATATAACTCCTGGTAATTTTTCTGTAAGGCTATGTACTCATCCTCACCTTTTTCTTTATCTTTTCTCAACATTGCACATTGTGATGAATGAAAGTCAATGTCAACCCCCAACATAACTTTATCTTGTCTCATTTGCTCTAACTCTTTCGACCAGCCATCTCTTTCTGCTTTAAACTCAGCTCTCAAGATTTCAATCTCTGATGGAACCACCTTAATGCGATCTTCCATAGAAATATCCTCATTTTGATCTGGTAGAGGAATATTTTCGTTTTTTCTGACAGATCTCCAATCTTCATAATCAGGAGTTAGCATTTCTTTTGCTGCTTTAGCTCGAATACAAAAAGTTGTTTTCCAAGCTGTAACGGCTTCCATGATATTTCTTTTATAATTTTTGCTGTGGAATGCGAACTCAGATGACTGTAGTCCAGCAGTGACAGGTACAAATTGACGACCTTCATACTGTCTTATAACCAGAAGTGGTGCATATCCAATTCCTCCCCATAATCCGAGCAACATTATCCAGTTGTAATCACCACATTTGTAAATGAATTCCCTTTGTATTTGCCACGGGGCTCGCCAAACATTGTCATTGCTTTGTAGATTTCGAAAGGCATTAATCCACATATCTTTCTTAATTTCTTTAGGCCATTCCTGCTCCAGAAATTCCTTTAATGGTGAATAATCCGTATTAAAACGTCGGTATGAAATCTTTTCTGTTCTCCAGAAATGACTACGGATCCACACATATAACAACTGAGTACACCCTGAGAATCGTCCACCTCCTAGTCTTCTACAAGAATTTAACGATCTGAAGGTCTCTGCTAGGATTGCAGAAACAGGATTAATCTTCTTCGGTAGCTGTTCAAACAAGTCTACCACTGCAGCTTCAATATATCCCAATACTCTTGGGAAGATGACCATACCATATATACCCAGAGCAAATAGATCGAATCGTACTTTAGCGTCTGGATGACTCTGAATAAGCTCTCTGATGTTGGTCCAAGCAATGCCTTCACTTTCGCCTTTTTGTTTTGTACGGGCTGCTACCCATTCTTCTCGTACCCCGGCAATCTTTGCTAATTTAACTCGAAAAGGTTGATTTTTAATTGACTTTGAATAGATTCGATTCTCCAAAGCACCTTCAAGGTGTAACAGAGTTGTATATTCTTCAATAGTAGGGACCAAGTCCTCTTTATTGAAAGTGAAGCAATTGTACCCTGGATTCCAGAATTGAACTAGGGCTCTGAGTAATTCATCATCAACTTCAACATAGAGCAAATATGGGATGTCTCCGTAAATCTGATAAAACTGCAATTTTTTGTTTGAATCCCAACTTTCCCAAATGCTCCGCAAATCTTGCATATCATTTCTTTTTAGTGAAACTGAAGCATAACTGGCCAAGTCAGATACATAATCATCCTGCAAACTGTCTCCTTCTTGTCTTTGTAAATCCTCAGCCCACTGTCTTACTTCTGAGTTTAGAATTACTTGACTTGAACACTTTTTATCCATAGATGAAGGCTTTCCAATGAGACAATTAACACAAGGATCAATGTCTTTTATCCTGTATGATGCAATGCAAACAGAAAAATAAAGAACACACAAAAAGAAAATAAATTAGTTTACATAATAAAGGAATTTAATAATAACATAAATATTCTTTATTTAAACATGCTCTTCTGAATTTAAATAATTTAAATAAACATGTAATTTAAACAATAAATAAATTAACAGGAAAGACAGAATTCATTTCTCCTGTGTGTACACCTATTTTGGACAAAATTTCGGCATGACTTCTGATCGGAAGAGTTTCTAAGGTTTTTTATATGCAAGGTTTCAGATCTAGGAATAAAGGTACCCGAATTGTCCTTGTTAGTGCCCCCTTGGGCTGCTAACCCTCAATCCTAGTCCATTACATACTAAAGTGGATCGAGTTCAATTCGAGGGGATACATTTCTCTATGCCTGACACGGAGAATAAATTCTCACGAAGACAGAGAGCATATGAACCCCGGAAGTTACTTGCTAGGTCTGACACGGAGAATAAATTCTCACGAAGACGTCGCTTTCACTCCCACTTAAAAGGGACAACTCAATTATAGAGCTTTATGTTATGCAATGCAAGTGTTGTGTGTGAGGAGAAATGTTCATACCTCTGACAAAATAACTAATAAAATAAAATACTTGCAAATAAAACATATAAATATTATAAAAATAATAAATACATAAAAAATTTGAAAAGAAAGAATTAAAAATTAAATATATGAATTTTTAATTTTTAGTTAATAGAGACAATTTATAATTAATTTTTAAAAGTTTGACCAAGTCCCCAACAGAGTCGCCAAGCTGTCGTAACCGGTTTTTGTCCGGGCACGAAATATTTATTTTGGCGGGGAAATTGATGTGAATAATTTTGAAAATAATTTGAGAGTCGCCATCGGCCTTTTGGGTCAGGTAGGTCGAATACCTAAAAATTATCTTTTAAAAAAAAAAGTTTTCAAGAAAACATTATTTAAAAGATGCACTGATCTGCGTTTTATAACCAAAAATTCGTTCTTTTTAATAATAAAAAGGGATTCGTGGTCGGTTACGTTTAGGGAAGGATTAGCACCCCTACAACGCCCAAAATTGGTACTTTTTAATTATAAATTGTCTCTATTATTAAAATTTAAAAATTCAAAAATATATTTAATTTATAATCCTATTATTTCAAAATTATATAAAAAATATTTATTTATTTAAAAATATCCGAAAAGAACTTCTAGGTGCCTTAAGACAGCTCTTTTCTTTGATATTGATAAATATTAATTTAAATAATATTGTTTACTTTTTTAATTTTAAAATATCAGAATAGGACATCCAGTTGTATTAAGACTGTCCTTTTCTTCGATATTTAAAAATAAATGTTTAAAAAAATACTATTTATTATAAGTATATTTATGAATATATAAAAAATATTTAACAATATAATAAAATAAAAATATTACTAAAACAATATATTTAAAAACAATAAAATAAATGAAGACATATAAAATGAATAACTAAATTATAAAAATAAAACTAATTACTAATTACTAATTAATTGAAATTATAGGGTTTAAATATTTTATTTTCTAATTTAATAATTTAGTGACCAAAAGGAAATTATTTAAAATCCAAATTTTATAATAGAATAAATTAAAAATATGAACTAGGGATTAAAAAAAATATTTATTAAAATTAAGGGATTGAATCTGTCATTTATCCTAAATATATTATTTTAATAAAAAGGACTAAAATGAATAAAATTAAAATTCAAAGACTGAATTAAAATTATTATAAATTCAGTTTAGTGACCAAAATGTAAAATTTACAAATACGAAGGACTGCGGAAGGGATTTAATTTTTTCATAATTACGCGCATAGTCCTTCCCGAAACGACGTCGTTCGGGAAGGACTATAAGAGTCCAAATCGGCTGGCCCGAAGGGCAACCCATTTCATTTCTCTTTTTTTTTTCTTCTTTCTTAAACCGAGAGAGAGAGAGAGAGCCAGAATTCTCTCTGGCCTCTCTCTAGATTCCCTCACCGGAGGGAATCCGGCAGCCGTCTGCCGCCGCGAGTTCTGCCGCCGACCACCGCCGCCGGTGGTCGAAAATTCCCCAAATTCACCTAAAACATAGATCTAGACACCCTGAGCCCGAATCCAACTTTTGTTTTCCCAAAAAGACTCCAAATCGGAGTAAATCTATGAAAATACCTTCGTATTTTCTGTTCTCCGGCGATGTTTAATGATTCCGGTGTTGGTCAAGGCTTCCTTGGTAAGCTTCTTTCCTCTCTTTTTCCTTCTATTTTTGCTCTGTTGTTGTGGATTGGGATAGTTGGTAGTTGTTGTTGTTTTTTTTTTCTTTCTTTGTTTTTTCTTTTCTCTCCGGTTCTCTGTTTTTTCTCTGGTTTCTGTCTCCTCCTCTCTTTTTTTTTTCGCAGGTGGGGTGGTGGCTTTTATAGCCACCACCATTGTAGCCGTCGGACCGGTCCGAAGAAGGGCTCTCGGTGAGTCACCGGACTACCAGTGGTGACTCACCGAGTAGCCATGGCGTGGACGGCTGCCATTTTATCTTCTGGAGTCTTCGGTTGGGACGTGGCAGCGGCGGAGGCGGCGAGAAAACTGTCGGCAGCCGCGTGGAAGCTGGGGCGGCGCCGCGTGGCCCTAGGGTATCAAACCCTAGGGTTCCTCTCTGGAGCCATCTGGACCGTTGGATCTTGCCAGATCCAACGGCTATGAGTTGAGGCGGCTGGTTAGATTAGGGTTAGGAAACCCTAACTGGAAACCCAAATATTTAGGGTTTCTGGTTGGATCTGGACCGGTTCTGGTTGGTTTGTAACTGGGCCGGTCCAAATGTAATGGGTCTGTAATTATTATTATGTATTTAATATATTTAATATAAATTAATAATAATAATAATAATAATAATAATAATAATAATAATGATAATAATAATATTAATAATAATAAGGATAATAATAATATTAATAATAATAAGGATAATAATAATATTAATAATAATAAGGATAATAATAATATTAATAATAATAATATGGATAAAAAAAAAATTTAGTATCTTCATAGTGACGTACACAATGCAAGTTAATGGAGTAGGCATGAATCTGACCAATCATGATAGCATTGTTATTTTAAAACTTACACAAAAGATTCGTCATGGATGAACTTAAACATACACAAAAGACTGCATCTGCAGAACGTCAGCCTGCAATTATTGATAGCATTGTTATTTTAAAACTCGAAGAAGAAGAAAAGTATGAAAGATTCTTTGACCAAACAGGGCAAGATTGTTGAACATCTTCGTACTTGGAAACTTTCTAGTCGGATGTGAATTTCTTTCTTAAGAAACTATCACCTTTTGTGGGGTTTTCAAGCTCATTTCTCTAATATCTCCAATTAGACGGTCCAAATTACAGTAAGAAGACCCATCAACACGAACAGATTGATTGGTCAGCTTAGCCAATTCGGCTGCCGATTTCGCAAACTCCTCCTTCCGATCCACCATCACATCGTTCACCATCTTCTCCACCATCTTCCGATCGCAAACATCCTTCATATCCAACCCAATTCTCCACACTTCACTCACAATCCAACTATTCACTTGTTGATCACCAAAGTAGGGCCAACAAATCATAGGCACCCCAGCGACGACGGCCTCTAAAGTTGAGTTCCATCCACTATGTGTCAAGAAACCACCGACGGCCGGGTGGTTCAACACCGCCTCTTGCGGTGCCCAATCGACAATGTAACCTCGGTCCTTACTCTTGTCGAAAAGCTCCTTTACGACATCAACATCCTCCCCTTCATCTTTCCCGATCACGGAATCTGGCCTTACAACAAGCAAGAACTTGGAATTACTGTTAACAAGTCCATACCAAAGCTCTATAAGTTGCTCCCTCGACATGCTCGTCAGGCTACCAAAACATGCGTATGTAACAGATCGATTCGATTGCTTATTGAGCCAAGAAATGCAGGTTTTATCTTCTTCCCAAAGGGTATTCGAGAAGTGATGGTATAATTCTCCATTTCTGGACTTTAACTGAGCATTTATAGGTCCAATGGCGTATACGTTGGGGCATTGGGTGCGTATTTGGGATAGGATAGGCCCGTCGAGCTCCTCGGCTGTGTTTAGTATCAAGGCATTGGCTTTAGCGCTCTTTCGTGTCTGTTTGACGAGAAGTTTGATGAATGCATCCTCCATGTCGGTTGCTCGACAGTAACTGGGAAGATCTCGACATCGAAAGTGAGTTTCCATGCCTGGTAATGTCGTTATCAACCGGTCCATGTCTTCACTTCCTTCAATGATTGCCATTAAAAACTTAATCGAACTCAAACTCGAAAAATGACTCGGATTGAAAATGATTGAACTGAGAATGATTTACCTTTGATAGGAAGCTCCCCAGCTTGGATCATATCAGGGATAGAATAAGAAGTCCAGAAACAACAGGGACTGCTGGTTCGAAAACAAAAGATGGGGATACCAAGCTCCCTTGCAACATCAAGAGCAAAGCCGAGAAACGCATCAACGATCATGCAATCCACCGGTGGGATGATATCCACAAGCATCTCTCTCAAACTCTGCTTGATTTTCATCTCCGGGCCATCTTCAAACATCTCCGGGAACCAATGTCCAGACCTGGGATGATCCTCAGGGAGGCCATCGGTTATGGTCCTGAGCTCGAAACCAGCAGGGTATCTGGCAAAGTGGGCAGCCATGTTGGTGAACTTGAGGAGGCGTTCATGGTTGTGGTGGGTGTTGAGGAAAGTGATTCTGATGCCGGTGAGAGCTAGCAGTTCAGCAAGCTTGATCATGGGGTTCATATGGCCTTGTGATGGGATGGGGAAGAAGAGAACATGAGGACATCGACCAGTTTCCATCTAATTACAGGATTTTTACTTCGGGGGCTGTTGAGTTTCAAGTGCTAAAACATCAAGGTTTTCGCAGCTATATAATAATCGTCCACGATTTCCCCTCGGCTTAGTGAAATCAAATCTCTAAAACTTTTAATAAAATGTTATATATAATTGATCAAAGCATATGGAAATATTTTATATAATTGATCAAAGCAAGTGGAAATATTCTATATAATTAATCAAAGCAAGTGGAAATGTTTTATATAATTGGTCAAAGTATGTGGAAATATTTTATATAATTAATCAAAACATATGGAGATAATATATATAGTTGATCAAAGCATATGAAGGAAATATTTTATATTCAAGGAGCAAAACTTTGAGAACGCTGCCTTAATTTTCTTAATTTGCAATGTTTTTTAGTATGTTATGCTGTACAGTTGAATTCTAAGGTTATAAAGATAAAAAATTATTTTGAATAATCTGTTGTGATTATAAGTTATTATCTGTTTAGAATTTTTTCGTCATTGATAATGTACACGGACACAACTGTTGGAATATAAAATTTTTAAGAAAACAAAATCTTGTTTAACCACTTTTAACGCTCGATGGTGTCAAAGGTAAAACCATTTGAGAATATTTTTGAAGTTTATCTTCTAGGTTTCTTTTCCTTGTATGGTGAAGTTGTAAACAAAGTGTAGCTTGATACTGTATTGCTTTTGATTAGTGTAGGTGTTAATTATGGTAGATAAGCTCGATGTTTCGGAACAGTGAGTAGTGTTTGACGAATATAAAATAACATCTAAACGTAAGCTATTTAGTAAGGTTTATAGTGTTATTTAATAAATCAAATAATATTTTTTTTAAAAAATATTATTTTTAAATAAAAGATTTTTGGAGACAAATTATTGATTAGAGCATAAAGCAGTTAAAGAAATTGACGAGATTTTTTTTATAGAATATCAACTAAAGGATCAAATTAAATAAAATAGAACTGAATTATAAAAAGAATAAATTTATTGTTGATAATAGGAGTTGAAGTTACATATGTATTCCATAGAATTAGTGGACCATGTAGTTGAAATTTGGTTAAAAGTAGACATAAAACGAACGAGTAATTGAAGAAATAAATGAAATTATACAAAGTTGAAGGGTTGAATTGAAAAAAATAAGAAATTGTTTAAAAAAATTTGAAGTTACATAGGTATTCTACCATGATTTTGTGGTGTGTGGTTTAAGTTTGGCCAAAATATAGACTTAGAAAATGAAGAAAAAAGAAAATCAAAGACTAAATTGTAAAATAATTAAATTTAATTTTTCGACTTGGTAAATCCAAAATTGAAATTGAAATTCGAGTCGACTCAAATATGTGCGTTTGTTTACACCGATATACTATAAATCAATACTAGTAGTAGTAATAATAGAAAAAAAATTATAAGGTAATGCTAGGTGGTGAGTTTGAAACTGTGTATTTTTTCAATTGTTATTGACTAGGGCTTGCGCAGCTTGATTATAGTTCATACGGACGCTTAAGCTGTGGATCAGTTTCATAAAGAAACTCAAAATCCATGTTCTTCAATGGTAGGTACTGCAGCTGATCAAAGACTTTCTCAAGTTCCATGTCCATTGTAATCGGATGGAATGGCTATTTTTACTTCTTTATTTCAGTATAAATAGTTGAGTACCATCTTCGTTTGAGTTCAAGTTGTAGATCAAAAGTGTACCTGAACTGCTTTGTGGAAATGGAAACCCCAGTGAAGTACATCTGCTTTCTAGCGTTTCTTGTGAGTATGACCATTGCAGGGCTCAATGGAGTCGAGGGAACTGCTTATTATTATGGTCCCTGCGGGAAACATGACATCGAGAAGGAGGCTGAGAAGTTGGAACCATGTACCTATGCGGCACAGCATCGGAGAGTCCCGGTTTCCGAGCGTTGCTGCACCGTGATGGAGAAAAAGGTGAAGAATCCAGCCTGCCTTTGCGCTGTTCTGTATTCTCAAACAGCATACAATGCGGGAGTGAGGCCAGAAATTGCAGTGACCATTCCAAAACGCTGCAAACTTGCTGATCGCCCTGTTGGTTACCAGTGTGGAGGTACAATTCGCATTTTGCATTATCTTTACTCCTTTTATGGTGTTTGTTTCAATACTCTAATGAAGCTATTGTTTCTTTCTTGCAGCTTTCACTATGCCTTAACTCTCTCCATTGCGTGGTATCAGCAGTATCAGCATGCTGGATTCTCTATGACATCCAGCATTTTTCAGTTAAATAAAATCTGTTGATGTATCTTTCAATAACAAGTAAAAAGTTGTGTTGTTTCTTTGAATAATACTAAATAAACGGTCACTAATCTTTGCAAAATGTGTGCTTCTTGTTTCTTGATTACCATTTTTTCCTTCCAAATCTATGCTGTGAATAGGCTAATAATTGCCTTAATCAAGTACTTGAACTAGATCAGTCATTTCTAACATTTGTAGGCAACCTATTTATCAAGAAGACTGCTGTAATGGACTTTGAGAATGGTAGTTTGTGACACTTTATTCTCATCAATGGGTATATTACAAGACTTAAGGACAGTAACAATTTGAGAGGGGTAATCTTCCCTTCCAGCAGGACATTCTGAGGATGTGAATCTTTCACAAAACACCCATAAAGATAAAACTAAAAAAACACGTTATTATCCCGAGTAAATTGAGACACGAAAAGAAGATTCTTCTTTATATCAGGAACATGTAGTAAATTTTACAAGAACAAAGGCTTAAAATGAGTATTATGGGAACCCTGACCAACATGAAAAAATCTAATACTGTCACCATTGCCCATAAGTAGTGAAGTATTACCTGTATACACTGCATTTGAATGAAGTTTGGCATGGTCTTTGGTGATATGGTGTAGATGCACTTGCAGGTACTGAAACTGAACTTTCACCTTGTCGACCACCTCGAACACTTGTTTCTTCAGTTTCTTCACCTTTCTTTTCTCATTGTTTAGTTATCATGTGTCTAAGAGATTCTCAATCAGAGAACTCTTCTGTCTGGCTTCACAATCATGTAACATTTCTGCGAGTGCTTCCAAAGACAATGATTCTCTCGAACTTATTGTTAAAAACAGACTCATACTCCATTGGTAAGCCAACTGAAACAACACTGACTTGTTCTTGCTCAGTGACTAAATTTCCTGCAGCATTAAAAGTTTCATACATAACTTTATCTTAGCCAGAAATTCACTGATAGCCAAACCTTATTTCTTTTGAGAGTGCAGACTATGGCATGGGGACGAGATCTTTGCACTGGAACGAGCTCCAAACAAATGAGATATTGTTCCCCATATAGCACGAGTGGTGTAGCAACCAGTGAGGTGATTAGAACATCTGCACTTTCTGTGGAAAGTAAACAGGAAGCTTGTAATTTATCCTGTTGACTATGAACTACAAACGTTGGATTCTCAACAACATTCCCTATCTCATTAGAAACAAACCGAGTGTGTGCAACAAAATCATCAGATATGTACTACATTAGTCCATAGCCATCAGTAATCAATATGATATGATGTTTCTATATAATATATATATTTTCAGCAAGATTCAGTGTCATGCTTAGGAATATGTTGAGTGGGTGCAACAAAATCATCAGATATGTACTACATTAGTCCATAAACACTTACCTTTGAGCTTATGCTTCAACAATTACAACACTATTAGTATATAGAGAGTTTCTCTAATGCTGCAACGATCAGAAATCCCATAATTAATGCAAAGGAACTGAAAAATGATAATCAAAATCTAATTAAAAATTTAATTTGAGAAAAAAGACGTCAAGACGACTGGCAACAAGATTTTGCAACTTCAATACCTGCTGAACTTGTTTCAAGCTCCTATCTATTAATTATTTTTTATCTATTATTATCCGTTCAAAATTAAATATTATTGATAAGCATGATTTACACAATTTATATGGTTAGATTCTATATAAAATGAGAAGAAGAAAAGGGAGAAAAAGAAGAGGTCTTATACAGCTGATGGAGGTGTGAAAATACTCCCAAAGATAGATCCCACAGAAACAAATTGAAAAACTTAACTGTTTATAAAAAAGCCAAAAACGATGAGTAAGCAATGTAGATTATGCATTTATTGACTTGTTTTAAATGAAAAGTAATGGATTGAATTTCTGTTCACTGAACACATCGGTGATCACTGATTAGTTCACATGTGAGCTTGTTTCAATTGTTAATGGTAGGTGGCCAGTTTGAAACTGTCTCTTCTTTCAATTGTTATTGACTTGGGCTTGCGCAGCTTGATTCTACTTCGTATGGGCGCTTAGACTGTGAATCAGTTCCATAAGGTAAGTCAAAATCCATGTTCTTTAATGCAGCTGACCAAACACTCTTTCTCTAGTTCCATGTCCATTGTAATAGGTGGAATTCATATTCATTTGGCTAATTTTTAATTATTTATATAACTATAAATAGCCGAGAAGCATCTTCGTTTGAACTCAAATTGTTGACAAGTACTGTCTTCGTTTGAGTTCAAGTGTCCCTGTTGAATTGCATTGTAGAAATGGACACCCCAGTGAAGTACATCTGTGTTCTCGTGTTTCTTGTGAGTATGACCATTGCAGGGCTCAATGGAGTCGAGGGAACTTCTTATTATTATGGTCCATGTGGGAAACATGACATCGAGAAGGAGGCTGAAAAGTTGGAACCGTGTACATACGCAGCACAGCATCGGAGAGTGCCGGTTTCCGAGCGTTGCTGCACCGTGATGGAGAAAAAGGTGAAGAATCCAGCCTGCCTTTGCGCTGTTCTGTATTCTCAAGCAGCATACAATGCGGGAATGAGGCCGGAAATTGCAGTGACCATTCCAAAACGCTGCAACATTGCTGATCGTCCTGTTGGTTACCAGTGTGGAGGTACAATTCGCATTTTGCATTATCTTTACTCCTTTTATGGTGTTTGTTTCAGTACTCTAATGAAGCTATTGTTTATTTCTTGCAGCTTTCACTCTGCCTTAACTCTCGAGACTTTCCATTACGTGGTATCAACAGCAGCATAAGCATGTTGGATTCTTTGCGACATCCAGCATTTTTAAGTTAAATAAAATCTGTTGATGTATCTTTCAATAATAAGTAAAATGTTAAGTTGTAGCTTCGAATAATAAGTGAAAAGTGTAGTTGTTTCTCTGAATAATAACAAATTAAAAGTTAATTTTCTTTGCAAATCGTCGTCTTCTTTTGTCACTCATCCAATAGTCTTAAATCTGTATAAAACTAAAAAAATTTTATATTGTGTAACAGGATCCTATATATATTTCACGCAATACTCATAATTATAATTTCCTCAATAATAATGATCATTTTGTTAAACTTTTAATATATAATATTTTTTATAATCATTAATGTTTAATTCATTTATGTATTAATTTAGATTTGGATATTGTAGATATAATGTATAGATTCAATAGAAATCAATTATGGGGATGATTCTTTTAATTTAATTCGCTTCATTCACAATAATATAATTTTAATTTTATATGTTGTCTAAGAAACTTAACTCCTCATCCTGTTAGACCGAGATGCACTATTATACATGGATATTCGATAAAAATGGACATGAATACGAATTAGATTGAATTAGATTTTTGATCAATCCAATCTGACCCAAATATTGTACCTCCACTATTAGTTACTGGCCCGATTCAAGTTTAGAGAGGTTCCATTATATTAAAACTCGACTCAATCTTTACGGTAAAAACTCGCACCTGACCGACCAAACACACATATATAAAAAATTCTCATTTTTATTCGATAAAATAAAGATTTAATTAAAAAATATATAAAATAAGTATTACTATAATTGTCCCTAAATATATAAGAGATCATTCTCAAGTTAGGTCAAGTCCAAGATTTTTACTCTAAATCTGATCCGACCTGACTTTATAATTAAAAAAAAACTCGACCCAACATAAATATTATTTTTTAAATATATTAACCCTATACATGGATATGTATAGTATAAAAATAAGAATAAAACCTAATATTTCCCCCCTTTTTTTTTGAAGAGTTGGGACAAAAATGACTGATCAGGTGTTTGGTTTTAGTTCAAATTTAGATAGGGTTTTATCTTGTTTGTTGATTGATTTGTTTAATATAACGGTAAAGTACACAAATAATCATCCGATTATAGTAAAATTTTGTTGAGTACTCCGACTATTAAAAGTTACAAAATCATCTCTAGACAATAGGATATTGCTTTGTTAAGTACCTTGACTATTAAAAATTACAAAACGGTCACCTGATTATTTATTATGTTCTAAACTCGTCTTTTTTTTGGGTGCCTCCTCCATTAATCACTGGCCTGATTAAAGTTTAGAGAGGTTCCACTAGATTAGAACTCGACTCGATCTTTAAGGTAAAAACTCGCACCTGACTAACCAAACACACATATATATAAAATTAGCATTTTATTCGATAAATAACTATTTAATTATATAAAATAAGTATTATTGTAATTGTCCCTAAATATATATGAGATCATTCTCAAGTTAGATCAGGTCGAATATTTTTACCCTATATATGATCCAACTTGACTTTATAATTAAAAAAACTCGACCCAACATAAATCTTATTTTTTTTAAATATATTAACCCTAGACATGGATAGGTATAGAACAAAAATAATAATAATAAAACCTAATATTTTTTCCTTTTTTATATGATCATATGTATGAAATTACCATTTGATCATATGTATGAAATTACCATTTGATCATATGTATGAAATTACCATTTGACACGATCCTATGATATTATAGTCAAATTAATGTCAATACACACCAATCATTGCTATGAACATGCCGTGATTATCGCTGAGGATTTGTGTAAATTAATTCTAAATCAAATCCCAATAAAAATCAAAATAATGTAATTTTGGCTTTATTGTACCCTACACGAGGGGTTGCATTTTTATAATATTTCATTATTTCCCCAAAATTATAATATATTATTGCAACATGAATTTATAATTAGATTTTTTTCAAGACTTGATTTCTCAAGATTTTGGCTAGATTGTGAGTGATTTTATGCCCTTGACCCTACAAACAGGCAGGGCACGTGGTAATAAAAATATATTGAATTTTTATTTATTTATTTTGCAATTTAGTTAATATTGGTTATTCTTATTAATTTTAGGTTATGGTGGTTTTTTCTCTTTCATTATATTCAAATATGGGATTTAAAGTTCAAATTAAATTGAGAGGGTCGTCATTGCCCCTACAGTACTCAATACTCAATATGGATTAATTAATTAATAAATCAAAAATTAGTGATTATAAAAAAAATATAGGATCTAATTTTTATATACTTTTATTATAATTTGATTATTCTACTAGAATGATAATATTAGTTAGTCTAAATAATTAATATTTTTAACTATTTCAGTTAAAGTTGAATTGATTTTTTGTTCTTAATAATATATTTTTCAACTTTATCTTTTTTTTAATTTCAGTATTTTTACGGATACTGATTAGTATTAATCAGAAAATAATAAAAAAACATGAATTTTACGTGAAAAAATATATCAGAAAAAATCACATAGAGGAAAGAAATTGTACTATGTCAACAACAAAATACAAGAGAAGCACACATCAAAAAACCTAAATTCTCCACAACATCGAACGAACTTGGAATGAATCTAGCAAAAATAAAGAATCAAATGATGTCGAATTAAAATATAAGGACTATATTCTAAATTTCGACATAGCAAAGTGACTATAATCATGATTTGACCCTAGTTTAAAAACCTAAAAAGAAGTTTTAGGTCGTCACTTGCTTCCTAAGGTAAAATCATTCGACATAAGTGCTTTAAAGATTGAGGAAATTAAAGATATCATTACATATATCAATTTTCTTATTTGTTTATATAAATTTGAAAAAGATGTATGTATTATTTGATGGAACACATATTAGAAAAATCAAAATTCCATAATTGAATTGAATTGAGGAAGATTACCTTCTTCGTTTGAGTTCAAGTTATTGACAAGTACCGTCTTCGTTCAAGTTCAAGTTCTCGATCGAAAGCATCCCTGCTGAATTGCTTTGTAGAAATTGCAGTGACCATTCCAAAACGCTGCAGCATTTCTGGTCGCCCTGTTGGTTAACAAGTGCAGAGGTATGATTCACCCTGTTGGTTCTTGTGTTAGTTTCAAAATTCTCATGAAGCTATTGTTTATTCTTTTGAACTTTTCACACTGGTTTAAGTTTAAAAACTCCCCATTGCGTAGTTGTTTCTTTGAACAATACTAAATAAAAAGCTAATTATCTTTGCACGTCGTGTAATTCTTATTTCTTTGAACTATGTTACTTCAATTTGACGCATGTCGGAACTTGCTTGCCACATATGTAAAATTCTGTTCTTCCTTATAAAACTATCGTTTTTGGCCGAGTTTTCGAGCTCATCCCTCTAATGTCTTCAATTAGACGGTCCAAATTACTATAGGAAGACCCACCAACATTAACAGATTCATTGATAAGCTTAGCCATTTCAGCTGCCGATTTCGCAAACTTCTCCTTTCGATCCACCATCACATCGTTCACCATCTCCTCCACCATCTTCCGATTGCAAACATCCTTCATATCCAACCCAATTTCCCACACCTCACTCACAACCCTACTATTCAATTGTTGATCAGAAAAGTACGGCCAACAAATCATTGGCACCCCGGCGATGATGCTCTCCAAAGTTGAGTTCCACCCGCTATGTGTTAAGAACCCGCCGACTGCTGCATGGTTCAATACTGCCTCCTGCGGTGCCCAATCGACAATATAGCCTTGATCCTTAGTCTTGTCGAAAAGCTCCTTTACAACATCCTCCCCTTCACCATCTTTTCCAATCACGGAATTTGGCCTTACAACGAACAAGAACTTGGATTTACTGTTAACGAGTCCATACCAAATCTCTATAAGTTCTTCTCTTTTCATGCTCATAATGCTACCAAAACTTACGTAGACAACAGATCGATTCCGTTGCTTATCAAGCCAAGAAATGCAGCTTCTATCTTCTTCCCAAAGGGTATTTGAAAAGTGATCGTGTGATTCTCCATGTTTTGCGTTGAGTCTGTTATTTAACTGAGCATTGATGGGCCCGATGGCGTAGACATTAGGGCATTTGGTGCGTATCTGGGATAGTATAGCCCCGTCGAGCTCCTCGGCGGTGTTTAGTATCAAGGCATCGGCTTGAGGGCTCTTTCGTGTATGTTTGACGATGAGTTTCATATATGCATCTTCCTTGTCGGTTGCTCGGCACAAACTAGGAAGATCTCGACATCGAAGATAAGTTTCCATGCCTGGTACCGTTGTTATGAACCGGTCCATGTCTTCACTTCCTTTAACAATTGCCATTGAAAACCTAAATAGTTTAGACCACAAACTAAAATGATCCGGACTCGGACTTAATATGACTCGAACTTAAAATGATTCGAACAAGTACTAAAATGTTCACCTTTGATAGGAAGTTCCCCAGCTTGGATCATATCAGGGATAAAATAATAAGCCCAGAAACTACAAGGACTGCTGGTTCGGAAATAAACGATGGGGATTCCAAGCTCCCTTGCAACATCAAGAGCAAAGCCGAGAAATCCGTCTACGATCATGTAATCCACCGGAGTGCTCATGTTCACCAGCATATCTCTCAAACTCTGCTTGATTTTCATTTCTGTGGCCTCTTCATACATCTTCAGGAACCAAGCCCCTGACCTGGGATGATCAAGAGGGAGACCATCGGTTATGGCCCTGAGCTCGAACCCCGGATATCTGGCAAAGTGGGCAGTCATGTTGGTGAACTTGAGGAGGCGTTCATGGTTGTGGTGGGAGTTGAGAAAGGTGATTCTGAAGCCGGTGAGAGCTAGCAGTTCAGCAAGCTTAATCATGGGGTTCACATGGCCTTGTGATGGTACGGGAAAGAAGAGAACATGTGGACATCGATCCTTATCCATCTAATATCAGGATTTTTACTTCAAGGAGTTTGAAGTGCTCGAGCATCAGGGTTTTTGCAGCAACTTAATAGTCGACGATTTCTCCTAGGCTGCATCAAATCAAATCCCAAAATTTAGAATTTTTTGTGCATTTAGAATTTAGTCAAATAAAGTTGCTTGTAATTAATTTAGTTATTATTTGAGGGTAAACTACAAATTTTATCACCAACTTTCATTTCACTCTTATTTTTATCACAAAAATTTTGAAAGAATTAATTTAATCATTTAATTTTAGAGATTAGTTTTTATCACTCCTCCTTTATCTTTTTAATGATGTTATAACATGGTTGTATTTAATAATATCTTTCTTCGAATAATTTGAGATGATTACAATGTAGTATTTTAAAATATTTTTTAGTGATTGATAATGCACACACTCTGCAAACACATCATCCTTATAAGAAAAAAATATAAAATTTAAAACAATTATTCATTAGATCTATTTAAATTCTCTTTTTGATTCCTTCCTCAGTAGTGAGTGATAAAACTCCTCAACCTCCTGAATTCTCCTCACTTTCTACGAGACAACTCCTTTTCTTTTGGAGGTAGTGGTAGAGGTAGATAAAGAACATCTTTTGTAACGGAAGGTAACAATTTGGATACGAATTTATCACATCAATGACAAACATTAATCATTAATTATTTATTTATTTTCATTCAACTATGAGTCATTTTTCGTAAAAATAAAATATTATAGATTAAATTATTAAAAATAATAATAGAGATCAAAATATTTATTCAGTTAAGATGAAGATATTTTTTTATTATAAATTTTAAAAACTATTTGCATACAATTAGTTTTACATAATTGATATATTACATTAAAGAACAAATATAAAAAAAATAATTTTCATAATTCAATTATATTTTTTATAAAATGTGAAAAAAAATTTAATATGGAATCTTTGACTTTCATTCTCGGCGGCCGACAACTGGCCTTTTTTCTCCCCTAATTGATCAAAGCAAACGGAAATATTTTATATAACTGTGTTGCAAATCCAACCTAATTGTTTTTTTTAACTTTTCTAAATATATAGATTATAAATATCATCATTCAAAATTTGTCTTATTCTTATTTTAATCACTAAAATTTTAAAAAAATAAATTATTCATTAAACTTTCGATTTACTTATATGTTGGTCACAAGAGCGTTAAATTAGAAGTGAACAAGTGACATAAAGGCCATGACTTTTTTTTTGGTGACACAACATCCACTTGTCATCAATGCCATTTTCCCTTTTTTCTATTTTATCTTCTTCCTTTAAAGATGAAAGTTTTATAATTTCATCCTTATGTCATGCCAATATTGAAATGTCCATTCTCTAGCATATTCTTCAACCACTCAAGACAACGACAAACTTATCTCATCATCTCCTCCAACTCAATCAATTTAGATTTTCCCAATTCACTTTAAAACTAGTGAAACTCAACCCAAAACCTAGAACTCATGAAGACCTAAACCACTTTGATCTACAATTTTTTCCATCCGATTAGCATTAATTCATTATATACAACTCGTTTTCTCTTTATCCAACTTCACACAGTTGGAATTTGGAAGAAAATGCTCCGTCATTGAGAAATTAAAAAAAAATCCAAAATTATGATTTTTTTCACAAAAACAAAAATAATTTTGAAATTCTTCCTTTATTTTAAAAATAAAAATATCTAGTCATAACATTGTTCAATATTTAATGTTAGAGTGACCAAAATAGGATCAAATTAAAAATTCAATGAGTAAATCGAAAATTAATAAAATTATAATGACTAAAATAAGAATAAGGAAAACGTTGAGTGTTGAAATTTAGAATTTATCCTTTTCCAAAATAGGCGGGTTGAGTTGTGTCAGGTGGTATAATGTAAGATTGGGCTGGCAGCTTATGGATGAAGCATTAAGTGGAAAAGATGGGCTTAATGTCACGAAGAATTTGTAAAATTTTAAAGGTATATATACTCATAAAATTACACTAGATGAAAATAAACTTTCAATAGAAATATAAAAATATATCTAAAATATATAAAATTTAAAATGTTTAGAGAGACGATTATCCTCACCTATTCTCCTTTGATCCATCTATGCTAGTGAGAAATTAGGAAAAGTTGGGATTACATGCCTTTGATACTTATCGTTCGCATATAATTTTTTCTAGGGTAAATTATACATATATTACTTAAGCTATCGGTTTTGATCCGTTTTAGTATTTAAGTTTTTAAATTTTTTTCAAAACCATACCTAAAGCTTAATTTTTGTTTCATTTTAGTATCCAACTGTTAAGTTTTAAAAATAATGAAAGTCTAGGTATCAAAACACATTTAATACCTAAATCATACTTAAGTTTTGAAAAAAATTGAAAATTTAGGTGCTAAATCGGATCAAAATTGATAGTTTAGGTACTAAACGCGTTAAGTTTTTACGACGAGATATTAAAATGAAACATAAAATAAATTTTAGGCATGATTTTAAAAAAATTAAAAGTATAGGTACTAAAACGAATTAAAACTGATGATTTATGTACTAATGCGTAACTTACCCTTTTTATTCCGTCATTCTTTATACACACCCCAACCGTGAGTGTTGGATAAAAATACTTCAAAATAAAAATAAAGAATCCAAGCACAAAAATCAATATATATATGTGAACATATAGTAGTAATAGATTCCCAGGGCAAAATTCCCATATAGCATCATTCAGTACACCGGAGATTTGTGGGCAAAATCAATGAAGTGTAGTTGTTTCTCTGAATAATAATAAATTAAAAGTTAATTTTCTTTGCAAATCCTCTTCTTCTTTTGTCACTCATCCCTAATTCATGTGGAAGAGCTGGGACAAAAATGACTGATCAGGTGATTGGTTTTAGTTCAAGTTCACATGGGGTTTATCTTATTTGTTGATTGATTTGTTTAATATAAATGTAAAGTACACAAATGGTCATCCGACTATAGTAAAATGTTTTGCTGAGTACTCAGACTATTAAAAGTCATAAAATCATCTCTCGACAATAGAATATTGCTTTGTTGAATCCCTTGACTATTAAAAGTTACAAAACGGTCACCTGACTATTTATTATGTTCTAAACTCATTTTTTTACCTCCTCCATTAGTCATTCACCTGATTCAAGTTTACAGAGGCTCCATTTGATTAGAACTCGACTCGATCTTTAAGGTAAAAACTCGCACCTGACCGACCAAACACACATATATATAAAATTCTCATTTTTATTCTCTAAAATAAAGATTTAGTTAAAATATATATATATATAATAAATATTATTGCAATTATCCCTAAATATACAATATATCATTCTTAAGTTAGATCAGGTCGAAGATTTTTACCCTAAATCTGATTCGACCTGACTTCATAATGTTAACTCGACCCAACATAAATCTTTTTTTTAATTATTAACCCTATACATGGATATGTATAGTGAAATAATATTAATAAAACCTTATATTTTTCATTTTTTTATATGATCATATGTATGAAATTACCATTTGACAGGATCCTATGATATTATAGTCAAATTGATGTCAATACACACCAATCATTGCTATGAACATGCAGTGATTATCGCTGAGGATTTGTGTAAATTAATTCTAATTCAAATCCCAATAAAAGCACATCAAACATTATTAATTATTCCGAAATTCCTTTTTTAATAAAAATCAAAATAATGTAATTTTGGCTTTATTGTACCCTACACGAGGGGTTGCATTTTCATAATATTTCATTATTTCCCCAAAATTAGAATATATTGCAACATGAATTTATAATTAGATTTTTTTCAAGACTTGATTTCTCAAGATTTTGGCTAGATTGTGAGTGCTTTTATGCCCTTGACCCTACAAACAGGCAGGGCACGTGGTTATAAAAATATATTGAATTTTTATTTATTTATTTTGCAATTTAGTTAATATTGGTTATGCTTATTAATTTTAGGTTATGGTGGTTTTTTCTCTTTCATTATATTTAAATATGGGATTTGAAGAACAAATTGGGTTGAGAGGGTCATCATTGCCTCTGCAGTACTAGATCTAATTAATCAATTAATAAATCAGAAATCAGTGATTATAAAAAAATATGGGATCTAATTTTTATATACTTTTATTATAATTTGATTATTCTACTAGAATGATAATATTAGTTAGTATAAATAATTAATATTTTTAACTATTTCAGTTAAAATTGAATTGATTTTTTGTTCTTAATAATATGTTTTTCAACTTTATCTTTTTTTTTTAATTTCAGTATTTTTACGGATACTGATTAGTATTAATCAGAAAATAATAAAAAACATGAATTTTACGTGAAAAAATATATCAGAAAAAATCACATAGAGGAAAGAAATTGTACTATGTCAACAACGAAATACAAGAGAAGCACACATCAAAAAACCTAAATTCTCCACAACATCGAACGAACTTGGAATGAATCTAGCAAAAATAAAGAATCAAATGATGTCGAATTAAAATATAAGGACTAAATTTTAAATTTAGAACATAGTAAAGGGACTATAATCATGATTTGACCCTAGTTTATAAAACCTAAAAAGAAGGTTTAGGTCATCACTTGCTTCCTAAGGTAAAATCATTCGACATAAGTGCTTTAAAGATTGAGGAAATTAAAGATTATCATTACATATATTCATTTTCTTATTTGTTTATATAAATTTGAAAAAGATGTATGTATTATTTGATGGAACACATATTAGAAAAATCAAAATTCCATAATTGAATTGATGAAAATTTTATTCGTCTTACCTCAAATAAAAATTAGATAATAAAAAATTCAATCGATTATCGTCATTGATCAACAATTCTTCTACATAAAAGTAAATAAATAATAATTACTTTTTACAAGAATAAAATCCCAAAATAATTATAATATAATCCAAAAATATCAACAATGTGGGTGGCTAACTACCAACAAGGCAACAACCCAGGACAAAGAATGTCTTATTACCTCAAACTTAACTGTTTTTTTTTTAATATTAAGAATCCTTGTAATAAAACAAACCTACAACCATGAAATCAAAATAAAATCCGAAATAT